TAACAGCGAAGTCCAACGCCTTGCTTGGACCCCAGAGTAATCCTAGTGATTCTTGGGGTCAAACAGACCTGGGTTGGAACCCCAGCACCAGCATCTACCAGCCACAGGACAAGAGGCTCACGGCGTATGTAAATTAGCTTCGCCTGTTTCCTATTTCCCCAGTTACAAAAGGAGGAAGAAGTTGTACTGGGCTGGGGTTTCTCAACCTTGACAGTAGATAGCAATCACTGGGGGAGGAGAACTTCAAACAGGAGGATACCAGAGCCCTCCCCAGATATTCTGAGTCAATTGGAGGGTTTGAGAGCCCCCAGGAGGCTCAAACATGCAGCTAGGTTTGAGAACCATTGAACCCTCTCAACCTTCAGGAACCTTCAAACTTCTAGTTCAGAGGACTTACTCTGTGACTCCAGTGGGAATGTGCTGACCCCTCCTGCCTCCCCCCAGCTGGCCTGGAGACCCCTTGCCTCCAGACGCCGGTGTCCTACATCCCTGGGAGGCTCCTGCTCCACGGTTGGAGATTTCCTAGGTGTGCTGGGTTCTATACTTACCTGGGGACTGGCCTGAGCCACCAGGAATTTATCCCCATACAGGAAATACAGACCCGTGGTCATGCTACAACAATACAAAGCTTATTTTGCTTTGCAAAGTAACTGCTCTATAGAAAAGCTTTTTAAAAAAATAGGCTCTGGCCTGTGGACTGGCAAAAATAAAACGGAACAAAAACACTTGGCAAGCAGAGTACGATACTCTTTGCATAAGATGGTGGGTTTACATTCATAACTCTGGGGGTTATAAGTGCAGAGAAGAGGGGTCTGGAAGGGTGGCCACCACATCAACTGTAATTCTCTCTCTTTTCCTTTGTGCTTTTCGGCTTGATTTTAAAGTAAACAGGAGCACCTATTTTTATCATTAAAAAAAAACCTATTTCCATTCTGAGAAGAGACTATGGGGTAATTTACATCTAAGTGGGAGAAAGGGTCACAAAGTTTTGGGTGATTAATCTTTTTTCTAAAGCTAAATTCTGTCCATGTAGTTTGCCGGTGTAACTAGCATAATTAAAACACTGGGAGAACAATCACTAGTCCCTGAGCCTTGTATAAAAATAGAACACATTCTGTGGAGGCCATTTATCCTCATTTTAAAAATGGTGTGTGTGTGTGTGTGTGTGTGTGTGTGTGTGTGTGTGTTTAAATCCGAGAAGCCGGGTCCTCCCCTCTGCGATTCTCCATGGGGGTCTGGAGCTGGGGGGAGAAGGCTGACCCCAAATTACCCCACCCTGGGGCGGGTTGGGCTCAGGCCGTGCAGAGGATGGGGGCCAGAGCTGGAAGAATTCCGGCGGGAGCAGAGGTCCAGCGCAGCCGCCTCCCTGAGCGGCAGCGGGGAGGGGGCATCGGTGTCACTTTCTCTGAAACTGACCCAGCGCGACCGGCCCTAATATAGACACTCAGCTGCCGCCCCGGCTCCCCGGCCAAGGGCAAGGAGGGAGGTCACCGCTGCGGGCGGCCGAGACATCTGGCCGAGCCCGCGGCGCCCACCCGACGGCCCCTCACCACGACCTACGCCCCTGACCCAGCTTCATGCGACCCTACCTACTAGGACCCCCGACCTTCTCTCCCTGCAAACTCCCCAACACCTGTTCCCCTGAACTATCAGCGTCCTCTCCTGCCCTCCAGGCCCCAGCTGCCTCCCCTCCTCCGGCCCTCACATCTCTTCGCCCTCCCTCACGTTTCCCCACGGTTCTCCCACCGCGGCACGGGAGAACCCCAAGATCCCAGCCCCTGCCTGCCCCCCGACCCCGTCCCCCGTCACCCGCCACGATCCAGGACTCCCCCTCCTCGCCCCCGCCCCGCGATGCCAGCCCCTCCGACCCTGCGCCCGCCCGGGCTCACCTGGCTCATACTTGAGGTAGAGGATGGAGACGATGAAGTAGCTGAGGTCGAAGACGGGGAAGAGCGGCACCCGAGAGAAGCTGAGCGCCAGCTCGC